CTTCAAATCTTTCAAGCGCAACGTAACTGATTGACAAATATTAAATGAGAACTAAATTCATTTTAAATAGTTTCCATTTGTGTAGTAATTAGTTTCTGAATTCAGCTTACAGTTAATGAACAATTAATTGCAATAGCTTCAAGATATGTTAAAGCAAATATTTAAACAACGATTATGTTAGTGCTAAAACATTTTCTCTTAATCGCTGCAATCGTTTGCTCTTCAAACTTTTTTGCACTAACGTAAAGCTTAGATACTTTTGACTTGATTCTCGTACAACGATTTAAGCTGCTCTATTAAGTCTAATTATTAAGTTAAAAGCATAATTAAAAGCAGCTATGTGTACGGCTTCAACTATGTGGCGCGAGTATGTTCTGCACTTAGCATATTTACTGTATAGCAGTTTTGCTGAAGATTTAAGCTCTCACAGCAATTTAAAAAAGATCGAAGCAAGACGAATCTCAATTATTCGCTGTTAACTTGAGGCAAAACTTGGCTCAAAGAAATTGTATTGCTTCGCTTTGCTCGTTATTTTTTTAAGCCAACTATGTTGCTCATTATTATTGTTTGCTTTAGTGAATAACAACACGACTTAAACCAACTGTGTTGTTGCTTTAAGCATGTTTTGATGGTTTTGATGTGGTGTGAGTCAAGTTTGAGACTGTTTTGTTTTGGCTTGTTGCTTGCTTTGCTTGCTTTGCTCTTGAAGTCAAGATATTTTCGCTCCATAAGCCTGGCTCAATGTGTTTAGTTGCAAATGAGACATTGTACGGAATGGTTTTGTGCGGCTTTTCGTTCGACAATAACAGGTGTAGTAAGTGGCAGATACTTTAAGTGAATGTCGAACGTGTAATTCGAATAGTTGTCGGACACTAGCGGCGTTCTGTTTTCTTTGCTGAAATGACAGTCAACTTACAGAATCAACGGTTTACCTAACTCTGGGCGCTTTTTATGCTTAAGCGTATTACGAAACCGTAACGTGTTTCTTTTGATTTTGGAAATATTAATAATAAAATACCAAAAAAAAGAAAAAACAAAAAAAAAATATAATATAAATAATATCAAAAAAGATGAAAAAGGCAAAATTCAACAATCAATCATGACAAAAGGTTAATAGAGTTGTTTTTTATGGTCAGATTAAAGCTGTATAAAGTTCTACAAATTTTTAATATACATATTTTTTTGTTAAAATTTTTATAAAAATATTTATAAGGCGTCAATAAATTAAAATATTAAACTACATAACGGCACATCAACCCAATAAAGAACTTATAAGTTTATAATATATGTGTGTTCTTAAGCCTGTAAATATCTGAATGCCAACGATTGAGCTGTAAATTGAGCATAAATTTCGTTTACAATATTTTTGGTGAAAAGACAATATTTTTGTTAGTGTTAACTTTAGCATACTAAATAGATATTAAGAATATCTGCCTACTGAAGAAGTGTATAAGAATGGAGCATAAATTATGCTATTGCGCAGAAATAATATAAAAAATTTGCTTAACAAAAGTTAAAGTTCATTGAAGCCAGTTTTTTTTTTCACCACAAATATATTTTTATTATTGTATTTAAATTTAAATTTATATTATTATTATTATTACTGTTAAAGCATAAAAAAATATGTGCAAACTGGTTAACGACAAATGACCAAAAAGGCAGAAAGCAGCAACAATCTATAAAAATAACAACATGTGCGATTGTTTTTCAGTGTATGCGAGACTGTTAACTATTTTCAGTTGCGCAAAGTGTGCAAAGTGAGCAAAGTGTGCAAAGTGAGCAAAGTGTGCAAAGTGTGTGCATATCTACGTGAATATAAAACAACAATAAACAAAATCCCAATTTAAAGCAGCGCGAAAAGCGCTACCAACTTCACAAAAAATACACCCGAAAAAACATTGAAAACAAAATAATAAATTAAATTGTATAAAAAAATTAAAAAAAAAAAAACAACAACAAAAATAAAAAAGAGGAAGAATTTCAAGATAAAAAATTTTGTATTGAAAATTCGTACGGCGCTCAAGTTCGCTTTTAAGCCACGGTTAAAATGCTATGCATTGCACATTTGACTTTTAAGCCTTGCGAACGTGCGCCTTTTGCCATTTTTGTATCTTTTTGTATCTTCTGCTGCTCTTTTTGAAATGTTAATAAATTTTTTTTTTTTTGTGTGTTAAATTTCAATTAAGTGGCAGCAACAATAGCAAGAAAATTCGTATACGTAACGTTTTTAACAATTTCATTTAAAGTAGATAATGTGAAAAGAAATAATATCGTAAAAGAGAAAGGAGGCGAGAAAAAAACTGCCATAGAAATTAAAAATTCATCCGTGGCTTAAATAAAATATAAAAAGTACAAAAAAACACACAAAACATAAAAAAATAAAAACAAAAACAAAAACAAACAATAACAAACAAACAACAAACGTAGCAGACAGCAAACAACAACAACAACAAGCGACAGCAATGAATTCAACACAATTGTGTAGTACAGTGTAAGTATCTGAAATTTGTATCGCAGAACTAGTACGAATACGAGTACTAGTACGACTATCTTATGAATTAGTTAAATAGGCTGCACACGGCTGGCAGCAATTCAGCCAGTTGCCGTTTTGCTCAATTGTTCAACTGCCTTAATTTTTTTTGTTTGTTTGTTTGTTTGTTTTATGGCTAAAACTACTTGTATGTTTTGTTTTAATTTTTGCTTAATGCCATCTACCATCCGAAACAAACGTTAATAAATTTTAGTGGCATTTTTACATAATTTTAGTATGTGCCAATATTAAGTTTTAACCTGCTTGGTTTTACTTCACTTTGGTTTGGAAATAAAAAACGGTCTGTAAAGATTAACTTTAATTCTTATGCAATATAAACACGTTCCAACCCATTGTGCGGCACAATTCTGCTACACTATGTGAATTACCGTTCAACGAAAATGAAAACCTTTATATTTTGACCAATATATTCAAACCAATGTAATATATTTATCTTATCACTTACAAATTAATATTAAGTATACTTTTTGAGAATTTAAACGCTTAAAATTTGGAACTCCTAGAAAAGTCCAGAAACTAGAATATGTCAATCTATAAGGATGGCTCGAAAATGAACTACGAAGCAGGAGCAGGCATCTTCGCGCCAACTGAAATTATAAGCAATTCTCTTCTCTCCTAATGAAGCCACGCTTTTTCAGGCTGAAATCTTAGTAATTAGAAAAGCATGTCGGCGAATTGCAAGTCACATCAAGTAGAGATGTAATGTTGCCATTTCATTCACAGCCAGGTAGCAATCAAAGCCATTGAATCCTTCACAACAAAATTAAAGATAGTAAAAGAATGTAGAAAGACAATCGATGATTTAAATTGGTTGACTCACATCACCCTTACCAGGGTTTCTGGACATTGGAACATCGAATGCAATAAGAAAGCTGACAGTTTAGCCCAATCTGGTGCTTCCTCAGATGTGTTCCTGGCTGTAAAAAAGAAAAAAAGAAAATCTCTAAAATTTAGACTGGAAGTTTTAGTTTCGGATGATTTTTCTTTTTTTATTTTTTTGAGTACTTTCACGTACAATGGTGATCAGTAAAAGAAATGAGTAATCACCGTCTCAGTAGCGTATAGACGCCCTTTTGTTCCTACAAATTCTCTGTTCTTATGTACTGTGCGACACTGCTCTGCCTATTCATTTTTTGCAGTAAGTGGAAAAAGACGCAGTGTGAGACATGAACCCACAAAAATCACCTCTTAGAAATAATTGTGGAAGATTGCAGCCGTTTTCAGCGGATGCAAACCCAATTTTAATAATCAAGGGCAGAGAGGAGGGCAGATGGGATTAGTATTTACCAAGCTAAATTTATAAAAGTCAAAGATGAATGCATGCAGTTAGCGGAGAAGGGCTTATTTGTGAAGAGAGTGGGGTTTTTCGCTCTGCCTTACTATGGCAAGTTTTGTCCATCGAACATCAAAATCATTTGATGAAAATCTCAGTTTTAAATTCAACATTCTCGTTTGATGAAATAGATTATTTTTTGAAGATCTATGTTTAGGATGTCCACCCGGTTCGTTAGTTCGTAGACTTTAATAGTGAAAAGGCTTAGTTTTGCTAAACCTATGCATATGGAAAAGTATGGGAATCGCCAAACTGATCTTATTTTTTTCTGAGACGAAAACATTAAATACATTATGAAATAGTACAAAACTAATAAGTTGTTTCCTCTTAAAAGTACGATCAATCTTTTTTATCTAAGTAATTAAATCGTTTTTTCAGATATTAGTCGAAAAAAACAAATATAACGAATTAGAATATGCAAAACTATAACTTAATTATATAAAAAAATTTTTATTTAAATTAATTTTTCACTTCTTTTATTGTTTATAGCAATAAATTATCAAACAAAAATAATGTTTCAGAAATTAGAATTACTCGAAAACTAATTCGGGCGAGAGTGTAATATATTTATATTATAAGGTTCGTAATCTAATTTAGACAACAAACCATTCAGTCAGCTGTTTTAATTAAAGCACTGACTGGCCACAACGTTTGAAGGAGACTTGGATTAATGCTTAGTCTATCTCTTAATGGCTTTTGTCATGACTGTAGCGCTGCAGAAGAGGAAGAAACTTTATTTTATCATATAGCTTTTTTTGACTAGAAGAAGATTTATTACGTTTTTCTCAATTTGATCTTTTTCTAATACCCTGATTAACCTGTCATCTTCAAAATTAGTGGCATAGCCAAGTTTATTGATTTATCAGATTGGTTCAATTTTACTTAAATAAGAAAGTGATGCCTGCTTTTTCCGAGGTTTTTAGACAATGACTGCTTTGGTCTCTATATATGTTTTAGTGGTTCCCTTATACTGGTGTGTAAGCAACTTTTTTAACTGTGATGGTGGTGTCGCAACTCTTTAATGTGTGATATCGCAATTCCCAATACCTAGTTGTGCTCAAGTAGGTTTTAATATGCAAGCCTGCCTCTCCAACCTAATCTAACCAAACTTTATTAAGAGTTACATTTTGATGATTTTTATAATATAGAGAATTTATAAATGCTATATATAAAATAAGTAGCAAATAATGCATTTACTTTTTAATGTGGATGTATTTTATATATTATTCCTTACTGGTAAATGTTAGTAAATAATAAAATTTATCTGCAATTATTCCAATTGTAAAAACTCTTTTTTGCAACTAAAGTGTGTAGAACGCTAGATACAGTGAAAATTATTCTGAGTATCGATTCAGCATCAAGTAACTTTTATTCATTTAAGTTGAATGTGTAATCAAAAAGAGTTAAGTTCTTCGAAATAATGATAAAATCAATGTTTTAGTTATAAATTGTACACCCAAAAGAATATCGCTGTCCTCTCAAAAGGGGTGTTCGTTACGAGAGTTTTCACAGTATATTGATGCTTATTTTTATTATTGAAAAGTTTTAACGTTTCGACAATCTCAGTTCCCAGTACTCTATACATTTTTATAATTTTGATGTAGCATGAAAATTTTACGATTTACTGCAGCGTTATGTTCTGGTATTTTTGTGGTTGTTTAATGGTGAATTTGTTATTGTTTTATTACTTTTTGTACTAAACGAAATAATTTCATAAATCTAATAAAAATTGATTTTAAGCTCTTGCTATATTTTTATTAGATTTCGTATATTAAATTCGTAAGCGGATTCGTAGGTGGATTATATTTAAAGTATTTTCTTTTTTTTTTTTTTGGTAGCACTAAACAATTTCACGTGCTGCTCGATAGCACAGCTCATTTTTATTGCGGTATGTTCAGTTTTTGTTGTATGGATTTTGTTGCAAGTATCTTGCGTGCTTTCCCCTTTTGCTATATGCTATTTGCTATTCGCTGTGTGCAATTTGTAAGTTGTAATTTTGTAATTCTTGTCTTTGATTTGAATTTTCTTGAATTATAAAATATTTTTGCGTTTCCAGTTATACACATATAGGTATATTTCATATATACATATATAAGTAAATGAATTGTTTAGTATTTTTTATTTTTTTTTTTTTGAATTTTTATAAGTTTTACACGTTCCGAAGTACACAAGTACGAGTTTATTTAACTTACTACATTTTTATATTTTTGTATATCATTCACTTCTGTCTTCAGTCCATTTTTATTTATTTTATGTTGCTTGAAAATGAGTGTGTTTGGAATTTTAAATGAATTCGTGATTTTTTCACATTTTCCAAACTTCAAATTGTGGTGTGGTTTGTAATTTTTAATGGTTTGCTGCTCGTGCGGCGCAAAAATGAATCAAGTCAAAAAGTTGGACTTCGCCGTACAAATTGTACACAAATACACAAAAGTACAAAAATACAAACCATTCTGATTCTGATTCCGATTCTGGAGAAAAACTTTATTTTTTCAGTTTGAAATTTTAAACAGAATACTTAATTCTTGCAGCAATGTAATAAACCAAAGATGTGACCTAATTATAAACCATAAAACCCAAATACATAAATACGAATGTAAGAAAGTACAAGTTGGTGCGTAGTTGAAGCTCATGGATCTCGAACAAGTGCTTCAAACTGGAACTACTTTCCTTTGTTGTTAACAATCATAATTTACTTTATTCTCATTAAGTAAATATGCGTAAACATAAGCACATACAATAAATTAAATGTAATTACAATAGTAAAAACATATTCACATCGTAGTTGTAACAAAAAAAAATAAAGTTTTTAAAATTGTTACAAAATAGTTAAAGATTTTATCATTTGTTAACTTTGTTAGCTTGTTAGCATATGAAGTTTAAACATACATTTGTATACCAGAGGACTGGCATTTGCCACATCTCTGTGAGAGATGAGGACAATGTTTATTTTCAATGCCTCGTCATTGTCGTTGTACGTACAAATATAATATTTAACCCTTTTGTAACGCATTAAACAGTTTGTTCTGTATTTAGCTACTTAGTAAAAAAAGGGAAGAATCAACAATATACAGATATCTTTACGTTAGTTGATACTTCTTAAATTAGAAAAATCACGTTATCTCACTAAAATGCCTCGTAAAGAAGTCAAACATATAGTGAGAATGCAGGTATGTCACTGTTGGAAGATTTTTTCATTAAGAATGAAAAAATGTGTGTCAGAGCTGACTTATCACTATGCGAACAAAGATTAAACATGTTAGTAAAATACCTTTTAAAGAATATTAGTCGAATTCAGGACGTTTCTTTACACACTCCTGGGAGTACGAATAAGAGTTACTCTTACTCGTAAGGTTTCTTAAAAGCTTCAAATAGTTTTTAAACCTTCGAGTCTTGTATGGCAATATAAAGGATCTAAAATGATTTTTGGATCGGTATCACAGTCTAGCTTCAAGTGTTAAGTATCCTCAAAGTTTTGTTAAAGACTTCAGATGGTTTTAAACTCTTCGCAATTTGCACACAAATACAAAAGGCCTAATTAGATTTTTGGGTGATATTATTCAAAATTGTATCATACGCTTGGATATTTATTCGACATTACAATAAG